ACTCCATACGTCCATGTTTTTCACGTGTTAATATTGTCAGTTGAATATCCTTCAAGATTTATTAATAGCCTGCGGCTATTCCAAACAGTCACTTCCTCGCAGTCAAGCTTTTAAACTATAATCTGGTAGATTTAATGTTAATTATTCACTTGATAAGATAAAATATGAGATAAACGAAGTACGTATATGTGTAGAATCTATTTCATAAATTTTCTATTCCACTTAAATGTATTATTTAAATCTGTTATCTTGGAAAGCCCGCCATAAGGGATTAATCGCCAGGTTTCACTGTACTATTTAATTCGAGCTTTTTTAAAACGCGAAGGTTGCGATACGATCATGAAACAAAGAGGCGAATGCGTTTTGCCGCATAACGTTCGATCGCATCGATTGTCGCGTCACGCCCCATTGCGAACGCAAAACCCTTTCATTCCAAATCTGAGTATAATCTTTGTTCAATTAGCTGTATTCATTAACATCATTTCTATGCATCGTACGAAACCGTTTTACTTTACCACGTTACCGTATGCGCCTCGTGTCTCGCAGTTTCATTATCCCGTCGTCGCTCTCACGGAATTCCGCTCGCGGGAACAGAATTCGCGGTGAGATTAACGGCAGCCTGTCGCTGTGTTTCAACCGCTTTCCTTTCTGAAATGAGGATCGTCCCGCGAAGCTTTCCTCACTTAATATTCGCTTTACATTTTTCACGGTACACTCGACTTTCGCGTCAAACTGATTACAAATTTAATAATCTCAATTTGTTAATTCTACAGTCTTTTCGTCATTTAGTTCATTAGAAAATATAAAAGGTATAACAAATCTTTGACACGGGTTAATTAAAAAAGAAACCCGGTGATGAAAGAGGGAGGATTGAAAGGAAATTGCCGGCCAATTTGTCTCGAGGTTTAATCGGTCACCCTGGTTTACCCATGCAGTGGCGCGAGGCTTTGTTCTGTTCACGAGAATAGTCGCGAACAGTAAAGCAAGCGCGGCACGCGAGGCGATGGAATGAAAAGCGCATTCTTCCTCGGTTAGGAAGAACGCGTTTCTTGCTGATGCTCTGGGGTTAACGCGGCGAGGAGCCCGCGTTAAAAGCGGCGCGCGGTTTCTTGGCTTCTCGTTTTCTTTCCCCGGGACTCCGTTTCAATGCCGCAGTAAAATTTTATGCGCGCACGCGATACGTTTTCCACGGCAATCGAGTCGAGGGTTCGCGAATCTCGCGGCACGTTGACGATCAAACGACTCGTGACAAGCCTCCGCGAAATATTCCATCGATTCTCACGTTTGTTCGATAAATAATTGTTAAACAGATTTTGTACATTCAGGGACAATTTACATTGGCAGTAAGTATAAAGAATCTTTGCCATGTTCGGAAATATATAAAATATTAAATAAATTAGTGTCTATTACAATTTTTTGTATGATCCAATAAATGTGTATTTAGAATGCATTTTCTTAGCCCATTTTCATCATAAGGAAATATGAAAAGTAACTCCCTTATCATCATATTATTTCTACCGTCCGGATTTGCCTTTGCGTTATAATTTCTTGGATAATGTCATCACTTAAAAATAGTTAAGACACACTTCGCCTGGTAAAATTTGAAATATCTTTATTTAAATCTCCAACACCTACAATTTATATATTTTAGGTAAATCATTTTTTTCTTCCTACTCGAATTCACATTTGTCACTTTGATTATTATCAACATTATCACTTTCAGATTCTATGTCAATAACTCGTCTCCGTTTCAGTGATCTAATTTCTCCTTCACTATAATCAGAATTACTGCTTTCATTTCTAATAACACTTTTGACTTTTAGTATCTACCTAGTGGAAAGTACGTCACGCTCAATTCTCTTGTAAGAAGAAACAACAGAATTAAGCGTATATATACGTTAATGATGTAAATGGGTTAACTAACACCATGAATATCTTATTTTGCTTCTTCTTCTTTCTTATTATACTTTTCATGTGCACTCAGCTTTATCATAAAATTAGTCTGTTGTTAATACATTTCTGGGTGTATGAACATTCTAATTCGATATCAGTCTTTTTTTTTCTACATTGTATGATAGATTTTGCACATGCAGTTTACAATAAAAAAAGAACTGTTTGCATTTATAATGAGTTTAATAGGAATAGTAAAATGTTTTTGGTGAAAAGGTGAGCGAATGAGATAGGATAACTGTAAACCAAGTCCATTTCTGGGCCATAAGGCTGAAATGATATATGTTTTATTTATAAAAATCTAGCTTGAATGTTTTGGACAGAAATTTTGTTCACACTTCGATACCTCGATAAATAAATGATGTAACGGAACAGGTAAACAAGGAAGTACATTAAACTCTGAAACCATACGACACGAATTAGCTCGGTCAATATTTTTTAATATATAACCGTGTCTCGAACATGTCAGCTATCCTTGAGTAGTTGGGAGTTGGGAGTCTTTGAATGTCTGCCTTGAAATAATTATACATCGGAAAGAAGTTTATTGAAACTTTACGAGGATAACAATTAAATAAACAATTAATTAAACAATTCTCTTGTATTAGAGGACGAATTTCTTTATTAATACATGATTTACAATAAATAATAAAGATGGATTAGGAATAACATAAAAAATAAATTTTGATTTGTTAATATTAAACCTACCGACAGTTTTTGTACACTGCTTCACTATAATGCATTTACATTTTTTACATTTGAATGGGATTTAGTACAGATAGTGGTACTTTAGTTTGGTAGATAATAATTTATCAATTTAAAACCCATCGGAATTTATCAACTATTATAAAAACTCTATTCAATTTTGTTATTTAACTTTGTTAAGCAATGGATGAGAATTAATTTATACTTTATATAATGCATTGTAGTTGCTAATGACTTTTGTAGCTGATGCAACCTTAAAAATTCAATAATAAGAATAATAATCAATTAACTTTTCTTTTAAATGATTACACAGCCTATACCTATGAAGGAAAGAAGGTAAAAGGTGAATGGGAAGGAAATTTCAATTTGGTGTCACGGAATTGAAAGGGTGGGAAAAATCGCTTACCGGTCTGTCCTTTGCCCAAGGTCTTTTCGAGTCGATAGGGGCCAACATACTGATGGGTCTCCTGGGTGTTGGACCCGACGGGGCTCTCCTTGCCCTGCATCGCCGAGCCACCTTCCTCTTGGTCCGCCAGGTTGGCTAGATTATCTCAAAGAAACTTGGTCGCCGGCAAAGCCGAGCACCACCTTTCTTGTTCCTCTGTCCAGGCAACCGAGTCGTCGGCTGCTCCTCCCTCCCTGCCAGCCCTCTGTATCCTCTTCCGGTATTTCTGTTCCCGTCTCGCGGATCTGTCCGTCGGTGCACTCCTAAACGGAGCCTCGTCTCGCATTCTCGTTCGCGAACGGCATAGGGGCCACGGGGATCGAAGAGAAGAGGTGGTCCCTCTCCCCGGTAATCGGAAAGGGCGCGAATCACCTGAAACCTTCGAGCTGGGCACCTTGGCACACCGCACGCCACTCTCGCACATGTAATTGCTTAAGCACTGTCACTCGCGGGACCGGGCCTTCGTCTTCTGCGGCTGCCTCTTGCGGACCCTTCTCATGGTTAATTCACGGGGCAAGTCCGTACTCGGGCGAGCGCGGCATCGGGCTCTCACGTGAACGCGGCGCGGATACCACCGCCGGCTCCGTCGGAAACCGAGTCGCTCCTCCTCGACGGAGCCGCGTTCGGCGCCATTGCGACTCCACGAACGCAGCAGCAGGCGACACGAACGCCTGTCCGAGCCACCCTCCCGCGCCGGTCACCCTCTCGCCCCGCCGACCACTTTTATCTCTCTTATTACTATTCTCTAAACGGCTCTCTTAAACGCGCCGTCCTTTTGTCCTTCCCGACGACGACGGCGACGACGGCGACGACGACGACCTACGACTGCCCCTCCGCCCTGCGCACCCTGTGCACCACCACTACCTTTCTCTTAGTCACTGTATCCAACAACAATCGCCTCGACGAATTCACTCGACGCGTTCGCACTTCAGCCACTACGTTCTTCCTCACCGATTTCGAGTTCCCTTCGTCTCCGAATTTCTTTTCGTTCGAGATTCGGCCCTGTCGTTCGCGGATCACGGAGCTGACGACGAACCGCGGCGCTCCCAGTTCGATTACGTGTTACACGTACTGGATCAGAGGGGGTAGTTTGCGCGCGCACCTCCACACCCTCCGTCCACCCTCCGTCCCAACCCCCTACACAGCTGCTAGCGAAGGATTTAAAACAACGACGCCGAACAAGGGTATTTAACTCTGACGCGTTCAATCGAAAGTTTTTTTTCTCAGTCCAGTACGATAATCGAAAATAGAAATAGGAGATCATGTTAATATACTAGCGTTTATGTTCACTGTACAATTACGTAATTAAAATATTAAAGTATACTTGGATTTATAATGTTTTCATTTTTACTTACTTCATTTAATTTATAATGTCTTGCATTTATATGTCTCCGTTCACTGTTATTTATTCACATACAGTGCCCTCCACTTGAACAGCCTCGGGTAAAAAGTGACTTATATAAAAAACATTCTGATTTACTAGTTAGATCCGCTTGGATCATAAATTAGTAGATAACGTTAGTTTATATTGATGTACGCACTTGGAAAATACGTTGTTGCTGGGAATACAACAGGATCCTGGCTTCCACGTGAATAGCCTCAAGTGTTTAGTCACAGTTAGTTGATGCTTTGAGACAGGACAGAGGAGAAATATTTCCAACAATATTTCATCATTTTACATAATCTAAATTACGTATTTATGTTATTTTATTCATATTACACACAGTTTCCTACAAAAAAATAATATTGTCTGTCTGATGCTGTCCAAGTGTACAGCACTGTACACTGGATGATCATCTATTATTTTGTTATACACGTTGCATGTGTTGCAATTCGACCAAACAGTTTTTGTTAGCAGCGTAAACGAGGGTGCGTTTTCGTCGGTACTTTAGGGCGGCTACTTGTGGTTTACGTCTGGGGTGAAATTTGGATCGATGCCCGATCCTTTCAATCGTGTTTTTCATTCATCTGGAAAGCCAAGGTACATTTCTCTTTAATCACGTAATCAACGAGAAGAAACTCGACGATATCGAGTGACTCAACACTCTCGTCTTAAACGAAATTCAACCAGGAAGCGTCTCTATTTACCAGACTGATTCTAGAAACTGATTTTCACTAATCGTGAGATCTCATAGAATTTAATTTACGCGAGACTCAGTTCTGAAGATAATCTGCAGACTCTGATGCAAAATAAGACAGATTAAATAAATGGACTGCTATATAGCAATTCCCTTGATCATTTTCGATATTATATTAAATACATTTCCATTGTGCATATCAATTTTTCTATGAACGCGTCAAATCCGCCTGTTAATAGGATTGAATCTAACAGATTGATTCCAAGCGGGTAGGTCCGAATGTTGGCATGTAAATTACCGGGGTAAGGAGGAGAAGGTAACCGGAGGTAAATTCCGAAGTTACATCGACGCGATGAATAATTCAAAATGGAATCAGACAGGTTAAGCCAGACAGCTTGGCCAGTCGGATGCTCGTTAATCATTTACCTGATTAATTATTAACGGTTAGCGCGTATCGTCGCGAGTTTCGGCCCTTAGCCACTCAAATATTCAGACACTGCGTGTCCCTGATATTCTAATCATTGCCGAACTTCAATCTTACAGTTACCGGCGATTCTTGCAATTTTTTAGTCCTATCGAATTCTTATTATCCTATAGGATTTTCTGATGAACCGATGTTATAGCGAAACTCTTTGAAGCTTATGTTTATCATAGATGATACAGCGAAGAAACGTGGGAGTTCTATTTAAGATCGGTGATTACAGGAACGCGAGAACGTCGAAGGTTCGTTAACGAGAGGCTATTAAACGCGGTTAAACTCCGCGCGAGAGGATGTTGGGTAGATAGAGGATGGAAAAGAAAAGAGAGGAGCGTTTAACGCTGGCAGTTTTCTGCGAGAGAGACGCGCGTATAAATATGCAAGGAAAATTACCCTGAGCGTTGCGCCGGGTCTCGGAGCGAGCGAGGACACCCCGTTGGAAGGGAAGGGGGTTACGAATGCAATATAGATCGGGGCCTGGACGGGACGAGGAGGACGGAACGGTGACGGAAAGAGACGGAGGACAGTCGGATGGCACAAAGAGGAGGGTGCAGACCGAGGATCGATAGGTATATAGAGGCAGATAGGGACACAGGAAGCGGCTGACACCGGAAAGCTCCTGAGGGACGGCTTCTTCTTACGAGCCACACGGCTCTGACTTGACCGACAACCTGTTCCCTACCCCCGACACTTTGTTCTTTTCCCACCTCGACGTATCTTCAAATCCCTCGCCCGAGGGTCGATTCATATTTTTATCGATCCCGCCAGAATCGTCGTGATCGTAAAAAAAGTTTTACGTCCGCGATAACGCGAGTCGTATTGCAAGACAGCTGGATCGAGTAAAATTAGGATCTCTCATTTTTAAACATTTGTATTAGACAGTTTTGATAAAATTAATTCCACACTGCGAAAATATATCTTATCTAAATTTTAATAAATGGATAAATTCTGAATGAATCTCGTCGCGTTTGAATTTATTGCTGTGTAACTGATCCAATCGCGGTTTATAGATTTAAAAAATTTCAATGCGTCGATGTATTTGCCGTCGTGTTTTGTTTCCTGGGCAGAGGGACAAAGCGAGCAGTCGAATCGAAAAGACGAGCTGGCGTTCGGTGCAGCTCGTGAATTCAATAAATGTCTCTTCCCACCGATTCCGCTCTTCGGTGATAACGCGAAAACCTATTCGGAACGGGTTTAACATTCTTTCTGACAGAATCGGCGGTGGGAGAAGGGGTCAATTAACGACCGCTCAAACGGAATAGGAAATTCGTCGACGTGCACGCATGTCGCGTATATCTACAGTTAATTGTACGTAAATTAATGGCCCCTGGGCTTTGATCTCCCACGACTCCCTCGAGGAGGGAGAGAACAACAATCAGAGTTTCCTCTGTCCTGTTTTCCTCTTTCTCTTAATTCACGTTTCTATCTGTGTTCCTTGATTGCTGCCAGATTCGATTTCATACGTCTTAAAGTACTCGCAAACGTTTGTCAAAATATCTACTAAATGTTCTATTGAAAATTTCATCTCAATTAAAAGCACAGTAAACTGTTAGATTGGCAAGAAAATAATTTCGGTTTTCAAAACGTAAACCAAGTCCTATTCTTTAATCGATCAGGCTAGAATTATAATAAATACATATAAAAAATTTTCATTTGTCCTCTGTTTATCAAAAAATCTGGAAAATATCCTATTGAGAATTAAATCTCAATTAAAAACATAACAAATCATTTGTACTTTCAATAAAATTATTCAATTTTCAAATAGAAAGAATTTATACATGATAATATAAACAATTGTCAAGTACAATTTTCATTTGTTCATTCATGCTCTTTCATTTGACTATATGAACTGAAATGTTCATGTAACAAATGCAAGAAGCATTGTCTAATCCGGATAAGATTAATGCTGTAGATTTTTCTGCGGCGTTAATTTGACGCATAAATTGTGACTCAAGGGGAACCGAGATCGAGCGTCCGGGTCATTAAATCTCTGGGGTTTAAAGGTCGATGCACCCCGCGGACTGTTCGCGCCCCTACCCGATGATCGGGTTCCTATACCTGTTTCCTGTCTAGGTGCTGTCCGACTACCGTTCGTGTTTACATTATTCGCTCATTGAAATCGCTGTCCGCGGCATTCGTTCCCGTGTAGAACTCGTTTGCTCCGCGAGAGCAGCTTCCAATTGCTCATCAAAGCTCTGATATACTCTACGTAGTGGTAGTCGTTTATTTCATGCCTTTCGGCCTTTAAAAGGGTGGTATTACAACATTTGCTGATAGTACATTTACAATATACTTATATGTATTCTAATATGTATATACAATGGTTGTTTCTACATAATGTAGTAATATTTAATTAGTTACATGTGATTAGTGGCCTGTGGATTTTTATGCAAAATAAAATATTTATAGTAAAAGTTTCTTTTATCATTTAAATATTGCAATATACAGTTAAGAGCTAATACAGAAAATAGCTTTGGTTCATCTCTCATTCAGATATTCTTTATTCCGAGGTTTGTTATTCGGCTGGGTAAAATTGTTCCGAGAGCGGCAGCGATTTTTCTTACGAAGGGGGCCGCGGCGCAACGTGTTGCACCCTAACCCTAGCGCACTCGTGTCCTCCCTATCGAGCAAGTTGCACACGGTGGGACGAGTAAACAAAGTTGGAAGTTGGCACTTCGCCTAGGCCTATTCACCGCGGCCGCAGACACAACCGGAAACCGAATGCAGTCTGAAGGCTGAAGCATCCTGCAGCCACCCGACTCCTCGGGAACGCGCATTGTTGTTTACCCGGTGAAATATACAGCCCCCCTTGCGCCGCCGTCTGCGCCAATTTAATAACGCGCTCGATTCCACCTAACGATTCGTCTCGCTCGGTTGTTAACCCCTTAATCCACTGCCTGCTTTCTGTTTATCTCAACCGTTACTTCCTATAGCATTTTCGCATCTTATTTTCATTCACGTTATTACAATTACTCTTTGCAACTTACGTCTTTGCAATTACTCTTTAGTACTTAAACGTTTGTTTTAAAATGTACCTCAAAAGACAGTACACTTAAGGTAGCTCGTTATTTGGGTAACGTATATTTTAAAATAAGAATATGAAGTGAAAATTTCATTTCCTCATTCATAGATTTTAATGATATATTAAAAAAAGGTGGCCTATTCACCGCGGCCGCAGACACAACCGGAAACCGAATGCAGTCTGAAGGCTGAAGCATCCTGCAGCCACCCGACTCCTCGGGAACGCGCATTGTTGTTTACCCGGTGAAATATACAGCCCCCCTTGCGCCGCCGTCTGCGCCAATTTAATAACGCGCTCGATTCCACCTAACGATTCGTCTCGCTCGGTTGTTAACCCCTTAATCCACTGCCTGCTTTCTGTTTATCTCAACCGTTACTTCCTATAGCATTTTCGCATCTTATTTTCATTCACGTTATTACAATTACTCTTTGCAACTTACGTCTTTGCAATTACTCTTTAGTACTTAAACGTTTGTTTTAAAATGTACCTCAAA